GTTGCGCGCAGATGGAGCGGGAGCAGCATTGCAGCTGCGAGGCGGGATTCCACCTGAGCAGCACCGCAGCCGGCGACAGCGTCTGCCAGGGTAGGCTCGGGCTCCGCGGCGGAGCGGGGACCGCTCGGGAGGAGGTGCGAGAACGTTAGCCCGGGGAAAAAAGGGTCCCATCTGCTGCCCTGGGGAGGAGTGCGGGGTGGGGTGAGGGTCTTCCTGGATGTGGTCTCAGAAATACCTGTGATTTGCCTTTAGGTAAGGGTTGCCAGGATGAATGAAATTAACCAGTAGGCTTCAGGGGGATTCTGGAAAAAAGAAGTGGCTGCGCTCCCATCTTGGTTCTCCTCCTAGTGTGCCTACCCTTCTTACCTCCCCACGGCTGGGCTCCAGCAGGGTGCACCACGGCCTTCTCTGAGATGGAGCGCAAGGGATTTGCATTCAGTCTCTAGAGTGCTTGCCTAGCATGCACAAGGCCCTTCTTGCAATCTCATCATTGCGTAAATTTGGAGTGACATGCTTGTAATCTCAACACTTGGGATACGGAGGCAGGAGAATCAGAAGTCCAAGGCCATCTTCTGTAACATAGCGGGTAGGGGAGGAAGAAGGCAGCCAGGGCTGATAGCCTAGAACTACTGTGCCCAAGAGGAGTCTTTTGCCTTCACGAGTCGACAACCTCTTCCCCGCCTCTCGGGGCGTGGCAAGGGAGTTACTGAGACTTCCCTAGTCACCTCCTCAGTTTAGGGGACTCTAGAGCCCACTTTTGATAACCACAACTAAACAGCAATTCCACCTGAGATCTGGACAGTTAATGCTAAGAGGTTCATTCCACAGCATCAGAAATAAAAATACTCCCCACTCCCTTCTAAAGAGGAGTCTCAATATACAGCTCAGACTGACCTCAAATGGAGGTCCGTGCTTCAGCCTCCCAAATGCTGAGAGTACAGGCCTGGCCCACCACACTGGCTGCAGGGCTCTCTTACTCCATGTCTCCATTGCTGAAGATGAGGAGGGCTAAGATGGTTGTCTCAATCTGGTTTTCCTCTTCGAGCGGGGTACCTGACTTGCTAGGTTTTGTAGAGTTTCCTGAGTTAGACTGAGGAGCCCGGCTAGGATGGCCCACATCCTGCCACTCCTCCCTTCAGCCCTCTTGGCCCTGGGCGGGAAGAGAGAACATCCCAGATGCTCCTCGGTTAGGATAGCTTATCACTTTATCCAGCTATTTAGTCACAGCTGCCAGAGTCAAGGGCACTTTTTGTCCCCAGATGTGAATGAGTGTAAGATCTACGGGCAGGAAGGACGCCCCCGGCTCTGCATGCATGCCTGCGTGAACACCCCTGGCTCCTACCGATGTACCTGCCCTAGTGGATACCGGATCATGGCTGATGGGAAAAGCTGTGAGGGTGAGTGAGACTGTAGCAGAGGCAGGTGATCACAAGGATAGAGGTCACCCTCTATACCTGGCCACCTGTTGCTGCTGTGACCCCTGCTCTCATCCTTGATCCCCATTCAGGAGTGTTTATGCTAAGAGAACCAAAGTTCTGGGTATACATTCAATCTTAGAAGAGAAATCAATAAAAAGAACTCCCAAAGATCAGGCTATATATTCTACACAAACTAGCTGTTTAACCATCAGAAGGGTCAGCCTCTTCTGACCCCATGTGAGTGACATTTCTAGGTAAGGTCACTTCCTCTTATTCAGCACTGCCTTCCACCAGACATGAACCCAAAGGCCAAGAAGCCAGCCAGAGTCCACTTTATTGGAATTTGAAGGGACCTCGGAGGCATCATGGCCCTGTGTGTCCATCTACTAGTGTTCTCTGACTACACGTGCTGTACTCAGCATGGCCAGGCTCCACAGCTCTGGCCATGTGTGGTGGCTAGTTGAGGACGACAGAGAAGCAGAGCCATCAGTGACAGGCAAGAGTGAGGGACAGGGCTCATAAGAGTCTGATAACAATTGTGGCTGGAAGTATGCATCTGCCACCAGAATTTAGCCTAGACTAAAAATAGAGACCACAGCTGCTCAGGCCTCCGTTTGCCAAACTCCACTAAACACCAGAAGGCCTGGAAACAAGGGGGCCTGGAGGCCTAAAGGCCTGGGAGCCTAGGCAGACAGACCAGGCCAGTCAGTCTGCCAGGAACAGAGAATAGATTGGTGGGTGGGATGTAAAACACCTGGCTCAGGTTCTACCTAAGTGCCACCCATCCATTGTGACCCCCTGGATGACAGGGCTGAGGTTTCTCTGTTTCCAGACATGGTGCAAATAAGCACCATCATCAGCAAGGAATGTCTGCAGGTCAAGTGCAAGTGGGGGTTAGAAAGGAGAGGCTGAAAGCTGCTCTCATCGTCATGGACACCAGACGAATCTAGGGGAACCTGGGCACACCAATAGGAGGCCTCCTGTTACCACACCTCCCCTGAAGACACAGACACATCAGTTTTCCCTACGAGCACAATCAGAATACAGTAGCCCCTCCCCCATCCATGGGTCAACACCCAAATTCAGTTGAATAATATTAACCTCTAGCTGCATGATGTTTCTATCTTATAGTACATACCTCAAGTGAAGTTTAACTTATAAATTAGGCAGAGCAAATATTAACAACAGCTAATGGCAAGATAAATAACTATAATATACTATAATAAAATTTATTAAAATCAATGAACTGCTTGTTTCTAGAAATTTTTATTTAATATTTTCAAACTACAGTTGGCCACAGGTAAGTCAAACCATGAATAAGTTAGGACTCCTATATACAATTCAGGCCCAAAGGCAAAGCAGAGTCTCCTCTTGCTCAGCTTGATTGTAGGCCTTGGAACCTGGGGCTACAGGGCACCTCTGGGAAGAATGCAGCTGCTGCAGGCTCACATTGGGAGGATGTCCAAACCTGACTCCTCCATGGACTAAGGACACTGAAGGGACTCCAGCAGGCTTCAGAAAATGGCTTTGAACTATTGGAGACGAAAGCAGACAAAGGACAGGGGGCTAAGTCACAAGCTGGCTTGGAATATTGGGGAGAAGTGGCTCTCTGGTGACATCTTGTTAGACTCCAGTGTAAGTCTCAGAGGAGTGGGCAACTGGGGACTAGAACAGGAGATGTCCAGATAGCCATTCTCACATCCACCCATCTACACTTCCACTCATCCACACACCCATTCACCGCCCCCTATTCATCATCTATTATCATCCATCCCCTCCTTCATCCATCCCACAGCGCTCAAATGATCCCACTTGGATTACTTGGGCTTGGGAAAGGACTGCCTCCAGATGGGTGAATTCACTGAACGTTTGTAAAGGGCACAGAGAACTCTTATAAAAACTGACTGGGTGGGGATGTCTGCTTTCAGTATGGGATGTGGTTAAGGGGGCAGGCATTCCTTTATGTTTGAGTCTGAATGTGAGGAAAAACATGGGCAGTAAGGAGACTCAAAAGCACTTGGGTCTGAGAAGGAAGCAGACGATTGGTAACACTCATTTGGTGTTGGCAGGAACCCCTGTCACTTGTCACACCCCAGGAAAAGAAAGCAGCATCCCAGGGAGAGGGATTCACTACCACAGTCCTAGAGTATTTCTGAAGGACCTCAATTCCAGATGTTGAAAGAAAACAGAATACCTGACAAGGTTCTTGCTCTAAGGGGTTGGATCCCCGGCACTCACTAGCCAGCCAGCCTAGCAGAACCAGGTTCAGTGAGAGACCCTGTTTCAAAAAACAATGTGAAGAAGTGATTGAGCAAAATACCCACATTGTCAACCTCTGGTCTCCACACACATGCATGTGTACTGCCCCAACACACACAGAGTATTTATTGGGTATTTGGTAAATTCACCCCTTGTGGAGTCTCCCATTTCATCACCTACGGGGGGTTCCAAGTGGCTGGATGACATAAGAAAGGCAGGAAGAGTCACAGCCTTCATTGTGTCTCTCGAAAAACAGATGTGGATGAGTGTGTGGGCTCACTACACATGTGCCCCCAAGGGACCACATGCATCAACACTGGAGGAGGTTTCCAGTGCGTCAGTCCTGAGTGTCCCCAGGGCAGTGGCAACATCAGCTATGTGAAGACATCTCCCTTGTAAGTAGACCCAGGGCTGCCCACGGCTGGGCATACAGTTCGTGGGGAGAGACGATAATTTCATCACGCCCAGGAAATGTGAAAGACAAGGAAGCTTCTCCGAGCTTCCATTTCCCCTATAATTACCAGCTCACATGAAGCACAGACATTTTGTTCTTCCAGAGAGATACTGGAGTCTACAGAAGTGTGGCCTCTTCAGGAGGGTGGATGGGGCAGCCTCTCTTGAGTTTTCCCCAGTCTAACTGTCTCTATTTTACCTCTGCTCCAGTCAGTGCGAGCGAAACCCCTGTCCCATGGATAGCAGGCCATGTCGCCACCTGCCCAAGACCATCTCCTTCCATTACCTCTCTCTACCTTCCAACCTGAAGACACCCATCACGCTCTTCCGCATGGCCACAGCCTCAGTTCCAGGCCATCCTGGACCCAACAGCCTGCGCTTTGGAATTGTGGGTGGGAACAGCAGTGGCCACTTTGTGATGCAACGCTCAGACCGGCAGACAGGGGAGCTCATCCTGATACAGACCCTGGAGGGGCCTCAGACTCTGGAAGTAGACGTTGACATGTCCGAATATCTGGAACGCTCCTTCCAGGCCAACCACGTGTCCAAGATCACCATCTTTGTGTCTCGCTATGCCTTCTAAGGATTCCATGGCAGTAGGGAGACTAAGGTTTGGAATCTGGACTGATTTCCCATCCCCAAGGACACAACTAAAGGCAAGAGCTGTGATGGTTATTTTTTTCCTGTCATGTTCCCACCCACTTTGCCTTTTCACCCAGGCTTCTAGAGCAATGTGCTGTGCTCTGTCCCATGGGTTGGCACAGAAAGGAAGCCTGAATACAAATGCTGTACCACCATCACACTTCTTTTTTTTTTTTTTTTTCTGCTTTAAGCCCCACTGTAATATCCTCTTTGGAGACAGCACAGAATCTCAAAATGCTATATGAGTGACTGTGTGAATTTGAATGAGCTGAGGTGGGGGAGGAGCTCATGGTGCAAGCCTGAGACAATGGCTGACTGTTCTGCATTGAGTTGCCAAGCCTGTTCTGAATGAGTGTGTTCTAGCTCCGTTAATGGTCTAATACCCCTGTGAGCCTTCCTATCAGGGGCCTTCAGGGGAGCCTGGTAACACCAAGTGGATCCTTCTAGACCAAGGAGTCAACATTAAATCACGGATTCTACCAGAGTTTCTTCCCTTGAGAGAAAACATGTCTTAAAAACCTGGTATTATGGCAGTGGAAATAGAGTCTGTTTCTCCTCTCTGTCTCTGCCCATCATCAGACTTCTCCCTGAGCTGGAGAGTTCCTTCTTGGAAGGAATAGCTCTCTGTCTGTCCAGGTTGGATATAGAAGAGCAAGAGAGTGAGAGAGGTGATATTTAAGATTGCTCCACTAGTTTCAATATGTGCTGGCCACATGGGAGACTGGTAAGGACAGCATCTGGCCATGGAATGTTTAGAATACTCAAATTGTCTTTCATTGCATGGCTTTCTTCTGCTGCTGGTGCTGGAAGAACCAAGAGGTGGTGTCTTCCAGATGAATGAAGCAGGAAAACTCTTTCTAGCACTAAGAACTGGGTGGGATGAGGGAAAACCACTCCAATTAAAATTTAAAACTAGATGGGTTGAGAGGAATTTCAATGTCCAAATACACATCAATCTACTGGTATTATTTCTTTGTATACATTTTATTTTAAAAATATTTCTAGAGGGTGGGAGTGGTAGATCATGAGTTTAAGGGCAGCCTGGATGACATAGTGAGACTATGTCTCAAACAAAACAAGACAAGAAGAGGGCTAGCTAGAGGTATAGCTTAGTTGGAAGAGTTATTGTCTAACATGCATGAAGACCTAAGTTCGTTTTCTGGCACTACATAAAACTGAGTATGGTTGTACATATGACAGCTACATACTAAGTTTGAGGCAGGCCTGGACTACATAAAACCCTGTATCAAACAGAAGTAAAGAAAAAAATGCTAGGTTCCCATTTCCCATCTAAATCTTCGTATTTGTCCTGACAGCAGCTAAAGCTGAACAAGGTGTCCCTCATTTAGTGATCAGTCTGTTATGAAGCTCCTAGGAGAATTTGTCCCTAGCCTCTTTTGTGAGACAAAGACTGAGACTCCTCTCATGGCTTCAGCTGCCATCACTAAAAACAGGACAAGGGCCTGAAGATCTGTTTTTTCTGGGTCATAATGTGACTCATTTAAAACGTTATCCAGAGCCTTGTGTTTCTAGATGGTAATATGATGGGATATGATGGTGACTCTGGTGTCAAACAGGCCCTGTGTTAAGAGGTACTTTTCTCCACTGAGATCTGTCATCATCAAAGCTGCCTCCCACGTAGGAAATCACTTGGCTTCAGTCCCTATGGTACCGAAGTGCGGGTGTCTGACTGCTTCAGACTCTGTGGTGTGGCTTATACTTAGGCCCTTCCTCATCTTCTCTTTACTGTGTTGGCTTTCTGTCACTGCAGCAATGTGACAATCCACTCAGGGAGAAAAGGGTTATTTTTGCTCACAGATCTTCTGGGTCTCTTGTTTGGGGGCCACGATGAGGTGACATGTCAAGACGATGGCAGGAAGCAGGGCAAACCTGTTCACCTCATGGCTGGGAGTAAAGACAGCACAAGACCACGTCTCAGAATCCACTTCAACAACATGCCCTCACGGGCCAAAGACGTCCCATTAGACCCTGCCACTCCCCAAGACTTCCAAACACTTGGGCTTTCAGGGAGACATTCTGGATCCAAACTGCAGCAATGCTCTCTCGTCACTTTCAGAAACCTGCTTCTGGGTCTTCTTAAGGCTGCTGTCTATGTTAAGTCAGTGTGACTAGTTGTCAGCGTGTATTAGTTTACCCGCTTTTTTTCTGGGTAATACGGATCCAAGTACTGCAAATACACAAACTAGAACAACATAAGGAACCCCATGCGTCATCATCAGCTCCAACCACCAACATCTGCCAATCACCTCTTCTTCCTCCTCCTCCCCTGGATGACTTTGAAGGAGGCCCTAGACGTGATATCATTCCATCTCTATTTCACCTTGTGTTTCTAAAACATTTCTCTAAAGCATGACCTCAACATTATCCACGTTCAACAGTATCTAGAAATTTAACAGCAGGGCCTGCAGGATGGCTCAGCAGGTAAAGGTGTTAGCTACTGAGACTGATAGCATGACTTCAATCCCCAGGACCTACATGGTGGAAGAAGAGAATCAACTCCCATAAGTTGTCCTCTGACCCCACATTGGGCTGTGTGGCACACACACACACACACACACACACACACACACACACACACAAATAATATAATTAAAAAACGGAATTTTAACAATGGTTCCTCAATGCCTCCAGACATTTAATCATTGTTTACATTGCTCCGAGTGACTTGGGTTGTTTCTTTGCTTGATTAGGCCCATGTAGTATGATTTATTGATAAGCTTTAATATGTAGCAGGGAAACTCACATTTCAGCATACAACAGATGGCCTGGAGGTCTGTTATAGGGCACAATATTGGATTGTTTGTTTTTTTTTCTTTCTTTTTTGTTTGTTTTGTTTTGGGAGACAGAGTTTCACTATGTATCCCTGACTGCCCTGGAACATTCCTGGAACATTCTCACACTCTGGGTTTTCCTGAGAGCTTTTATAGGATCTTTTAATGCAATCCTCTGTTCTCTCTCTTTCAGATGCACCTGTGGTTCTAGTCATATTCAGTGAGATTTGAGTTGGCTTTATCCTGAAGACAACTTTATTGGTAGTGGCTGGTACCTCAAGTGGAAGGCACATAATATCTGTCTCTTCCTTTTTAAAAACAAATTATATTATATTTGGAGATAGAGAGATGGTGCAGCCATTAGGAACACTTGTTTCTTTTGCAGAAGACCTGGGTTCAGTTCCTAGCACCCATATCACAGTTCCAGGCCAGCCAGGGATACACAGAAAGACCCTAAAAACAAAACAATAATAATTTTACATCTTGGAAAACATCTCCCAGGAAAACATCAGCAATACTGATAGTTACCATAATTCTTTCATGTTATGTTTTTTTCATTTGTTTTGTCCTTGAGTTTGCTGTCATCAAGCATGAGTGTTGTATAGTTGGTTTGCTTTTTCAAATCACTTAAAATAATTCTCCGTGGCTCCGGCTCAAACTACAATCCGGGCAGTCGCATTTCATTTTGCTAAAATTTTAAATTACTTTTCACTTACTTATTTGCTTATGAGAGAGGTGGTGTGGGCCACAGGACACCTGTGAAGGACAACTTGTGAGAGTCCTGAGATTGATCCCTCTTCTACAGTGGTTCCAGGGGTCAAACTCAGGTCACCAATCTTGACAGCAAGATGGCCATGGAGCCATCTTGTTGGCCCTGATGTTTTTAGTAATTGCTTGTGATTTTTGTTTTTTAATTTAATTCAATGTGTGTGGGTGTTATCCTTGCATGTATAACTGTGTCCCACCTGTGTGTACCCAGGACCCACAGAGGCTTCATCTCTTCAGCCCCCGTATTTCCTCCCACTTAATATTCAATTTCCCTTTTTATCTTTTTACTTAATATAGTGGGGCTGGAGAGATGGCTTCAAATTCTGTGCAGAGGATCCAAGTTAGATTCCCAGCAGCACCCACATGGTGGCTCACAACTGTTTGTAACTATAGTTCTCGGAGATCCAACACTCTTTTCTGTGTTGTACACACATATAAATAAGTGCAACCCACATACACACAAAAATAAAACAATACAAATGTATTATTAGTATAAATAAAATTAAAAGTAAAATAATATAAATTAATGATAGACAATAGCATAATATTCAATGTTTCCTTTGACTTTTTATTCCTATTAATAGCTGGCTATCACACCTCATAGCCATATCCCATATCAATTCTCTATTTTGAGAATTTACCATGGTTTATTCATCTAGTCATTTGGGGATGACAGCTAGACCATTTTCAGTCCCTGCCATTGAAAATGTTACATCAGTATTGTAGCTTTTAATATTTTTGCCTTCATGTCTTAGATGCCAGCATTTCCTCCGCAAGGCAGAGACAACCTCCCACTCCCTAAAAGGTCCTTTTTCTAACTAAGGCAGATCCCGGCAGCAGCATTCTCACGTCTGCTCACTGAGCAGACTCTGCTTTGGAAGGAAAGGCAGGCCCCAGTACAGGGCTGATCTCCAGCCAGCCGAACTGTCTGTCTTGGACCTCTGAGGAGCAGTCAACAGCCACCAGGAAGACGGGAACAGCCAGCCAGGAGATCATGAGCTGTTGAGCAATGGAAAGTGAAGTAGGATTTTGGAAGAGTTTATAAAAATCACTTTATTTTTAAATTGTAGCATGTCCAACAGTAGCAAACAAAAAGGAAAATATGCCAAACCCCAAAATGCCATCCCAGGGTCACAGTCAACCTGACTGGTTTATAGTCTGAGGTCAGACTGGAATGCAACTCTTTCCATCAGTCACTGTCCCAACTTTGCCAAGCTCTCACTGCAGGGCTAGAAAGATGAACCCTCCTGACTCTGGTCTTGTTCATATGAGTGTTTCTAAGTGTCATCAATCAGCTAAAATTGGTGCAGATAACTGAACTTGGTTCCTCCCTAAGCTCAGCAAATGTTAACTGCTGAGCCATCTCTCCAGGTCCCCCCTT